ATATGGGAATATTAGCTATAGCTGATACAATTGTTTTACTTCTTGGTCTATCTTTAATGTGGCTTTATTTAGTAAATCGACAATGGTCATTATTATTAAAATCAACATATTGTTGTAAAATTCTTTCACTTTTATTTTATACAGTAGCCGATGTTAGTGTTTGGCTTGTTTGTATGATGTCAGCTGATCGTTGTATAGCTGTAACACGTCCACTTCATGCTAATTCAATATGTACAGTACGACGTGCACGTATATCTGTTTTTATTCTTGTTATATGTATTATATTAATTAATATTCAATTTTTATTTACACATCATTTATCAAGTGAAAAAGAATGTACACATCATGAACGTTATGAATTTTTTATTCATCATATATGGCCATGGATAGATGCAGCTGTCTATTCAGCATTACCATTTATATTATTATTAACAATAAATTTAATTATTGTACGTAGTTTATTTCAAGCACGACGTTCAACATCAAATTTACAAATTTATCAATCACAAATAACACGTCATAAAAATAAATTATTAACATCAATGTCAAAAAGATTAACAATAATGCTTTTAGCTGTAACATTCTTTTTTTTATTAAGTTCATTTCCAATGGTTTGTTTACAAATATATACAAATATAGATCAAAATAATGAATATAAAGATTTTGCACAATCGTATCTTAAACCATTATGTGAAACATTACAATATTCAAATCATTGTGTAAGTTGTTTTTAATTTTTTGTTTCGATATAATTTATTATTGTTTTAGAAAATAAAAGAAATTTAATTATTTTTTTTTTTTTTTTAAGATAAATTTTTTTCTATATGCTATTACGGGTAAAGCATTTCGTCATGAATTGAAACGATTATTTCGTAGTATTGCTATTAAAATGCATTTAACAAAAGATACAATAGGACATCCAATTGATCGTCGTACAACAGCATCTAATTTAAATTGTTTACCAGGTGATACTGATTTTGAACAACGATTAAAAGAAATACGAACATCACCTATGGCTCTTCAACTTCTTCGTTCTCGAAAATCAATTGATTCAACAATTACTAATAGTACTATTATTCGAAGACATTTTCAACCACAAAAGCAACAAATTGCTCGTAAAACTATGATTGATGTAACATACTATTTTCAAAGAATCTCAAATGTCTGATGTTTTGTTGTATATATTCATTCAATTGTAACTTTATTGTCAAGTCTGATTTATTTATTTTAATTTTATTTTAATTTTTTGTTTTAAATATACAAAGTATCACAAAAGTCGTGTCCACTTAAGAATTGCGTATAACTCCTTTATTAATCCAACCTTAATCTAATAGTTTTATTTTTATTTGAAGGAGAAGAATAGTAAGTCTTTTTTTTCTTAAAGATAAAGTTCATAAATATTCTTCAAAAGTAATACTTTTGACTTCAATACAAGAAATTTACATGTTTTACAATTAAAAAAAAAATCATGGAATGTTTTATGTTTATTATATCGATTTCGATAGTTATTCGCGGCTTTAAATCATAGAAATCTTTTACGATTATATTGTAGACATTTCGTTTGAGACAGACTCATAGATAGCAGTTCAATGGTGTAAAATGTAATGATTAAGAGGTCCATGTTGTTAGTCCACATTTTCTGACTCACCTCCCATAGAAGATTTCGTTCAGCCACACACGAATCGATTTGGAGAAATGGGCGAATGCTCTATCTTACTAAAAAATGATGGAGGAGTTATTCAACCATTTCTTCTGTCAAATCAGGCAAAAGAAATTTCGAAGCATTACGAAATAATTCTTTTGGGTTAGTGTTTGATTATTGATAATAGGTCGGAAGAAGTGAATCAATATCATGGGCTTCTCGATCACTAAACTTTACGCCATTGGATTGCTATCTATATAACTATAGAAATTGATAGAATAAAAATAAAATGCTTCATGATTTTTTTTAATTGTAAAACATGTAAATTTTTTATATTGAAGTCAAAGATATTACTTTTGAAGAATATTTATGAACTTTATCTTTATGAAAAAAATCTCACTGCTCTTCTCTTTCAAATAAAAAAAATTATTAGATTAAGCTTGGATTAATAAAGGAGTTATACGCAATTCTTAAGTGGGCACGAGTTTTGGGACACCCAGTATATATATATTTTTTTTTCTGTTGGACAAAATGATATCATTAATGTCGACTAAGTCATGTTTTGTTTTGAGTTTCGAACGTGAACTTTGATAATCAGAAAGAAAAAGTTAAGATAAGAGTCATTTTCATACTAAGAACAACAATATCATAGATATGTTTATTTTGATGAAATATATGTTTTTATCTTATTATATGTAAACTTTCAGCTGATCTTTTTTCCTCATTATAGACAAAAAGTGTCATTTGAATGCGTCCAGATATGGCAAGAAACAGCAATGAAACATCGTCACTATTAGATAATCAGATAAATGGTGCAAAAACTTCAACTCGAGAAGATTCGTATGAAATTTTAATGAAATAAATAAATAATATTTAAATTGCTTAATTATTTTCTTTCTTTTGCATTAGTACTCGAACTCGTTCAGCGACACTTTTTAATGAAACTACAAGAAACGAACGATTTCGTGACATACGTATTTGTTATTTTGGCATGTTTGTTAGTTCGATTGTATTCAGTATAACCGTTTCATCACTTTGGCCTTTTCTTCAAATCGTATATTTCTCTATATTCTTTTGTTTTTTTATTATTTCTTGTTTAATTGTTTTTAAGGTTGATATTGATGCTGACGCAACTTTTCTTGGATGGCTTGTTGCTTCATTTTCTCTTGGTCAATTAATAGCATCACCTATAATTGGTTATGTAGCAAATCGAACTAACAACAATAAATTACCATTAGTTTTAAGTACAGCATTGATTGTTGTAGCTAATCTTCTTTATGCTTATGTACAAAGCCTAAATAATTTTGTTTTTTCAAATAAATGGTGGATTATGTTGGCACGTTTTATTATGGGAATTGGTGCAGGTCTATATTAATTGTTATTGATGAACAGAAATATTTGTATTAGGATTTTGTTTTAATATTTTTTTTTTAGCTAATTCAACGATAATGAGATCATATGCTTCATCAGCAACAACACTTACAGAACGAACAGGTGTTATGGCTAATTTATCGGCTTATCAAGGAGTGGGTTTTATTCTTGGACCTCGTAATTTTAATAAATAATAAACTAAAATTTGATTATGATTAATGTATATATATATATGCCTTTTTTTTAATTTAGTAATTCAAGCTCTTTTTGCTTTTCTTAGTTATCCTGGCCCTGTACATAAATCCTGGGTAAAATATTTTCTTATTATTCTAATGAATAAATTTATTCTTACACTATGGTTTTTTTTTTGTTTTCAAAGCTCTACCTTAATATTTATACGGCTCCAGCTTTTTTCAGTGCTCTAACGGGTGCTGTTAATCTTATATTATTCTTAATTACATTTAAAGATGTACGAATTGTTTTGTCCGCGAGAAGAACTCTCAGTGGAAGGTCATCAGAAAGTGTTTATTATTTGAAAAAATGTTTTTCAAAAAAAAAAATCTATTATTTATTTTTTAGTTTTATCCTCAACTGAACGTAGTGATCAAACACTCGCTATTACATGTTGTCTTTATATGTTTTTTGTTGCTTATTTAACATTTACAAATTATGAAACGTATGTTATGTTGTGTTTTTCTTATCATAAGAGATTGTCTAGAACATATATATATATATATATATATATATACATTATTTGCATTTTATTTTTTAGAATAGCTTCACCACTTTCAATTGATATGTATGCATGGTCAAAAGAACAAAGTACAAGAAATAATGGTTATTTACTTGGTGCACTTGGTTGTATGTCAGTTGTAGTTTTAATATTTACGAAATTATTAGCTAAACGGTAATATTATTAATTAAAAGAAAAATTCTAAAATTAAAATATATTTCAAATAGATTTCAAGATCGTGCATTAGCATTACTTGGTATGATTATATCCTTTCTTGGTTATTTTATTTTTTTGCCGTGGGGTACCGATTATCCAAGCATTCAAATTGCTTGTAAATTTTAACACATAAAATTTCCATTTCATTGATTATTTATAGATTTTGTTTCATTTTTCTTCTAGCATATACACCTACACCTGTAACATCTATTCCATTCTCAACAACATTATCATCTAGTTTATCAACAACAACAGCTGATACGGATGAAAAAGGTTGTCCACTTGATTATCATTGGTGTTATACAGTACCACGTGTACAATTATGGCAATATATAACAGCATCAATTGTTATAACAATTGGTTTTTCAATTTGTAATGTTATTTGTTATTCAATATTTTCAAAAAAACTTGGTGATCGTCCACAAGGTACAATGATGGGTATATTTACTAGTGCTGGTTCTTTAGCACGAGCATTTGGTCCAATAACAGTTGGTTTTCTTTATAAACATTGGGGACCACGTGTATTAATGATATTTATGCTTATATTTGTCTTAAGTAGTATTTTGTCAGTAATACTTAATTACAAACGATTGTATATTGAAACTGAAGATGAATGTAATGATAATGATGAAGAATCTAATATTAATAACAGTCGATGTGATCGATCAAATAGCAATGTTGATATAGCTTAATAATTATTAATGGAAGACCAAAAGAACAATAGCGAACAAAACATAAGTCAGGGTTTATGTAAAATTAATAAAACCAGAAAAAAAAAGAAATGAAAGAATGAATGAAAAGAAATTTCACTATAAGCTATCCAATTTGTTTTTTATCATGTTTTTTGTTGTGCATGAACAAAATATGTGTGAGGGTGATTAATAATATTATTTGGAAAAGACAAAATGTTTGTTTGCAATTATACATAGACAAAAAAAAAAGAAAAACGAAATGAAAAATTGACATTAAAAGCCAAAATAATGTAGGTACAGGTAAAGAAAAGAAAAACAAAAAAAAAACGATGAATCTAATCATTTATCAAGAGAATATTGTCTTTTTGGTTAATGAAGCACGATCCTAAAAATAAAAATCACATCATTAAATTTTCTTCATCATTAAAAAACATTATATCAAAATAATCTAAGGTAATCTTTGATTTTGATATACTTTTTTGTTTCAATTTTTTTTTCTTGCCAAATATTTCAACTTATAAGACTATCAATTTGCCTTTATATATATATATATATATATGTATCCGAAAGACATCAAATTCAAAGTGTTTATATTTTACCTTGCCTTCGGCATTGATCAATGTTGTAACAAAATTTAAACCTGTATGCCATGAAGACAGTGACGAAGCAATAAGATCATGATTTTTTCTTTCTGATTCATTTGGTTTAGTAAGAATCTAATATACAATATAAATAATTTAGAAAATAAATTATTTCGAATTTTTTTCTTTTTTTTTTTTACTTTTAATGAATGATTTGGTCTTAAAAGATAATTATCAGGAAGTGTAAATGTTAAAATATCTCCGTTATCACTTTCTTGACGTATAATCCAACCAGTAAGTACCATACTTTTTGAACGACTTGTATTTTCAATAATAATATATTTTCCTTGTACATCACATTCAGCAATAGATATTGGTCCTTTAGCTGATTTATGAATCGTTGTACGAGATTCAAGAGCTATTAAAAGAAAAATTATTTAGAAGAATAAATTAAAAAACCAAAAAATAAATAAATAAATAAATCGAAAATAATTGCTCACTAATATAATATTGAGAAAAATCATTTATATCAGATTTGTTATTTATTATTGATGTTGAATTATTTAATGAAGGAAGATCATATGTTATAGGATGTTCAAAAACGGTTGGTCGAGGATGAAACATAAAAGTTCCTGTTGTATTATTAACCGATGCTGTTGCTGTCGCCATTATGTTTTATGTTACGTTTTTTTTTCTCTTCTCTTTCGATATTATACGCCTTTGACTTTTTTTGTTATACCATACGCAAAAGTAGAATGATCTCAAATAGTGGACAATGCTGAAGCAGCCTTCGTTTTTTTCTCTCTGCTTTCGGTTTTTTTCTCTTCCTCTCTTCCTCTCTCTCTCTCTCTCTGTCTCTCTCCTCTTCCATTTTCTCTTTCGTTTCGTCGTTATAGAGGTTGTGTGATGATGATGGTGGTAGAAAACAATCACGTCAGTATATGCATGCTCGCATGCTGACGGTAGATAAACATACACAGCAACAAATGAAACAAGTATACTTTTCATATAATGATAAAATGTAACAAATTTTTTCTGCTCTTCCTTTGTTGAAATGAATAGAGAAACTGACTTTTTAGTTTTTTTCTCTCTTTTTTTTTTACAATGCCAACATAACGACATACATATATATATATTCAGTCGAAGGACATGTCATAGGCTTCCATCAACTGCTATTAGTCCTTGTTTTTTTTTTTTACAATGTTTCAATAGAATATGAAGAGAGAAAAAAAAGAAACTGAAGACATGTGATGCAACTGTCTCATAACTGTCCGCAATATGCAATTACATAGACTGATAAGTGAACAGTCGACATAAATATTATTTTTTTTTTCTAAATAAAACTATCACATTGTGTTGCATAGGTTTATATGCACAAGTAATCGCAACTACTTGAAAAGAGAACGAGAAAAGGTAAAACCGTAGAAAAGAAAGAAGGAACATATTCGTTAAAAAAAAGCTCGCTCATAACATTGATGTAGTTCAAGTATGCACACGCGCAGCAATGGCAACTATACTACTTGAGATCGAATGTTTGATGCATTAGCAGCCAAAGAACATTGTATGTGAAATGAATAGAGTATCATTGTAGGAAAAGAAAAAAGTAAAACGATAGACATATGATCTCTGTCTATTTATTATATGCAAACACATTAACATTTGATTGACGACATTGATTTTCGTTTTATTTGTCTCCTTCATCTAACATGTTTTATTACTTACGTCCATCAGGTCCTTCAATGGTTGTTATAGTAGTATTAGTTGTATTTAACCAAGATGGTGAAGGAATTTTTTGTTTTTCACTTTCATTACTACTTAATGATTGTGTACTTGCACGACTACTTGATGTTGCGGTTTCTGCTAATTCACTAAATGTGGTTGATGATGGTGGTGTTGGCGGTGGTGGTGGTAAATCTGTTTGTGTTGTAGAATATAATTTAGCATCAATTGGTGTCGATGATGATAAACGTAATGCCATATCATCATAATCTATTTTCATAGTAACAGGTAATGAAACACCACGTTCACGTTCACGTATAAGAATTATTTTTTCGTCTGGACTTGTTCGAGGTTCTTTTTGTTCAATTATAGGTAAATTATGTAAATCTGATTGTTTTTGTTGTTTTGATATTGATGATGAATTTATTGTTGATGCACAAGTTTTAAAACTATCCGATTCTGATACATCAAATGGAAATTCATTTAATGGTCGATTAAATATATCATATGTATCTGATCGAAGTGATATATCTTGAGTTATTGTATCTTGATGCTGCTGCTGCTGTTGTTGTTGTAAAAATGATTGAAGTTTAGTAGGATCTGTTGTTCGAACAATTGTCTAGATAAAAAAAAAAATATGTATATATATATATATACAAATGATTTACTCTTTTCAATTTATAACATTTATGAACGATAAAAGAAAGGTCATAAAGAAGAAAAAAAAAGAAAAAAACCGAAATATAACTAATCTATCTTAATCAAAGATATATGTAAATATCAAATGACGGCAGGCCTTTAATCATGTTCTTAAATTTTCAATAATTTGAATGTACAAAAATATTTGATAATTAGTTTTATCAATTGCATTTATAAAAGTTTTTGTACAAATATTTATGTTAATAAATCAATAGATAAAAATATTGTTGTTGTTTTTTTCCTTAGCCTTGAACAAAGCCGAAACAAAAGAAAAACGGTTATGATATTCAATAATATCCCCGTATCTTTTTTCAAATATAAAAAGAATAATCAATGAATTTGATACTATTTCGAATAACTTCAGACATTTAAAAAAATTTTTTCTTATCTATATCAAACAAAGAATCTTTTCAAGCATTGATTAATTGGTAAGATTTTGACTTAAAAAAAAAAGTCAATAATTCTTATCAGCTTACTCGAGTTTTAACTGTAGTTATAGCAGATTGTTGTTTATCATCTTCATCATGAGTTAATGGTGAATGTCTACTATCGTTAACATCAGGTGATGGTTTCCATAAACCAGCATATCCTGGTATGATATAAACATCATCTGATTGTAATTTTGTTGATGTTGAACTATTACTTGAAACATCATAACGTTGAAAAGTTGGTCCATATTCTTGCGATAAATTATCATTGTGTTGGATTACTTCATTTACAATACGATGAAGATTTGATATATCATGTTGTTCAAATTCACTAAAATTTTCATCATCAACATCTTCATCTGTACTACTAGCATCTAAATTTTCTTGTCGATTTGGAGCTGAAGTATAAAGTTTTTGTAAAAGTACATCATCGGAATAATTTAAATTTTCTGTTGCATCCAATTCAGTTAGATCATCATCTTTTGTTATATTTTGATTGATATTAACAATTGGTTCGGATAATTTTTGTTGTTCTTTATTTTCATCAGGTGATGTTTTGACTAATTCATAGATAGGAATATCAGCTGCTACAGGAAAAGCTGGCAAACGTTCTTGTGATGAATCACCCATTTCATGTATGGCATATGAAACATATCGATCTGAACTTGTTACTTGTGATGATGTTGTTGAACTTGAAGATTTTTCTGGTCCTTGAGAAGTTTGTGTATCAACTTTTTCTATAAATGAAGTTGATATAGGTAGTTGAGTAGTTTGTATTTGAACAAGTTCAGAAGCAGGAAGAATCATACTATGTCCTTGTAATGCATGAATTAATTCAAGTGAATCATCTTCAATATTTGTTGGTGATGATTCACGAAATTCAGTTGATAATTTTGATGGGACATTTTCAATTTCTGTAATTGGTAATATCTATAAGAAAAAGAAAAATCCGAGAAATTGAAGATTATTGAAAAAGGTTTTGTTTTTTTGTTTTACTGAATCTGATCCAATGTCATGACTTGATCGTTGTATCATATCATCAGTCTAATTGAAGAAAAAAAGAAAACAAAAGATTTTATTAAATAAGAATTGAAGATTTGTTTTTGTTATTATTTTTTTTACTTGAGGTATAATTGTTGTTTGGTGAATTGTATTTTCAATAGTTGGTGATAATTGTGTTTGATTTGGAAGCGTAATTGTTGTTTTTTGATCCACGATTTCAACCGTTATACCATCCGATGATTGAACAATTTCTTCGAGTAATTCTTTAATTTGTTCAAATGATTGATTCATTTTTTCATCATCGGAAGGTTTTTCACCTAGCAGATTTGCCCAAGTTATATCAGATGTTAACATTTTATTATCAATAATATCTTCTTCATTTTTTATTGTTTCTTGATTTATTGTTGATTGACTAATTTCAGATTTATCTTCAACATTTATAACTGTTATTGAACTCGTAAGACTACTATCAGAAGAAAACATTTCTTTATCAAGTTGTTCATTATCAATTGAGATTTGATTTAAACGATATATGACAGTATTAATTATATCCCTGATTAAATTATGAACAATATTAGTAAGAAGATCATATGTTTCAGAAGTAGTTTCATCAATAGTTGATGCATCAGTTTTAAGTGAAGATAAGTCTTGAACATCTTCATTTATAGGACGTTCATATTCGTATTCAATTTTTTGTATTGGTTTTTCATTATCAGAAATCTTTAATTAAATAATTAAGAAATATTCGAATATGATTAAATTGATTCTTACTTGAGAAGATATTGTTGTTGAAGTTATATCTGGTTGACCTGGAATTTGATCTTGTAAATATGATTCCAATGATTGATTTGTTAATATTTGTTCTTTTTCTTGATGTAAAGAAGTTTGATCAATGGTGTTTGGTACAATATTTTGAGTCATGTCAATATTTGATTCCGTTGTTGTTGATCTAATATCTTCAGATTTACTTTGATCAATAGGAATTGTTGAAGGCTGAATAGCGCAATGAATTAATATGATAAAATTTTCAAATTCAACATACCTGTTGTTCGGATATTGTAACTTCTTCAGTAGTTGAAGAAGTAATAACATTTTGAATCTTCTCAGTTATTGTTGCTATTGGATGTGTGATAATATCACGTATATTTTCGAGAGTAGTTTTTGTTTCAGTAGTCTCAACTTTTTGCTCGGTGGTAGGCAAAGTCTAAATATCGAATATCCTTTGTTAGATAAATATTTAATATCAAACTCACTTCTGTTTCAATAACTTGTTGCTCTTTCAAAGTTTCTACTTCTTCTGATGTACTAGTAGAAGGTTTTGTAGTATCGGACGTTGCTTCTTCGCTGGGTGAAGTAGATATAACACTTTGAATTTTCTCAGTTATTGTTGCTATTGGATGTGTAATAA